ACCGAAACTCGAGGATTTTCACCTGCCGGCCCCTGGGAGACACCTGTCCGACACTATTTTGACACATTCCCGGGTGCTGGAAATTGTTTCTTGGATGCGATCTTTAAGAACGATGGGGGCATCTTAATTGTGTGTGGGCAATGCATACAGTTGGCGAGCCCCTCCTGCAGTCCCTGCCCAGACCAGAGCAAAGTGATCTCGGGGCGCCCGCGCACAATCCAGATTTTGGTGCAGGGTAAACGTTTCCGTTACATGGGGATTTTGGGGGAAAATAACAGATATTTAAAAGCATGCCCCAGCATTGTCAAAAATAATCAAAAATAGTCCCCACCTCATTTTAGGGATATTTTTGAATAATGTTTGGGACATTTTTATGTTTCGTCGAAAATTTCCGTGTAGGGGGACACGCCCGACTTAATTGGAGAGGGGTGACGGGGGGGGGGGGGGCATGGCGCAGAGCAGGCAATACGCTGGCCGCCCACCGTGCATGCGCAAAACCAGCGAGAAGTGATCGCGGGGCGCCCGTGCATGATCCAGATTGTGGGGCAATCTGCAGTTTGTATTGTTTTGCATGGGAAGTGGAGGGTTTTGACATTCTTCAGGGTTTTTCGCCGGTCGCGGGGGGTGGGGGGTCTAGGAATCCTTCCTCGAAGGGGAAGAGGAAGAGAAAACGCCTTCAACCACCTCCGCCTAGAGGGCTGGTGGGACCCAGGCCGCTCAGACGAGTGAGGGGACTCGAGGATACACCCCTGGGGGGGTGTTCGAGCGCACCCGCATTGAGGATGGACGTCCCCCCCGTCGTAAATCCCAGAGTTTGGCCCCAAACTTGCTTCGTTCATGAAGCCCAAAAGAAGTCTGGGCTAAGGTGCGCCATGCCATCCGTTATGAGCGACCTGCCCCGAGAATGTGTCGCTTCGATTTTTTCTTACCGGGCCATCTCGCCCTGTTTCTGGTCCCGCGGGGCCTCCCACATCGATACGGCTCGAGAAAGGCTGCATAATAATGGGGTCTGAGGCTCCGGTCTTGAAATCGAGATGGCCGGTTTTACGTCATTGTGGCTGTGTGTTCTGGCCCTTGGCCGTCAAAGAACGACTCAAAATGAAAATCCGGCGCGGGGGAAAGGGTCGAGTGTAGGAGCTTAGCATACAGGGGATTCTGCAAACGGGGATCAACCAGGGCACCGGATCCTGCAGGATCCTGCGAAGACCCCCTCGGGCTGACCCGGGTTAGCAAGCCGCTCGTGGCCGCGAGGCGGCCGCGCCTATTGGCTGACCCAGGTCTGCGAAGCCCTGCGTTGCACTTGTTTTTTCCTGCATTTCAGGTTTTTGGTTTTCCACCCAAACTTTCCTCCTTTTCATCCTTTTTCTCCGCTTGTTCTTCTCCTGCTCATCCTCTTACTTCTGCTCTTCTCCTCTATCTATGACTTTGAGCAGCGTATGGCCAGGTTGTACGAGAGAATCCGCGCCAAGGAAGTGGCCAGGAAGCACCAGATCGAGGACGCGAACACCATGCTGGGCAACAGCGGCATCATGAAGAGCTTGGAGGGCGTTAGAACGCAAGTCCTGGATGCCGCTAGTCGGACACCCCAGGCTCAATCGTCGCCTGCAACTGGCGTTAGATCGCAAGTCCTGGTGGCTGCGGTGCAGCATCCCCAGGCTACGTCGCCACGTTTTGTTGCCAGAACGCAAGTCCTGGATGCTGCCGTGCAGCAGCGTCCAGGCTCCGTCGCCACTGCTGGACGAAGGAGACCCACCAAGACGGCGGCAGGCGAAAGCGCACCGACGGGCATGGGACTTCCTCCTCCTGGGCTGGTTGATGACCGAGCCGTCGAGGACTACGCGGACATGCGAGCGGACCTCAGAGACTGGGCGGCGTTATGGTTCGAAGATTACACGTGTCTGGCGAGTAACAGTGGGCCGTGGCAGGAGTGGTGTGTTGCGTTCGTCACAGAGATGTTCAATCAAGGCGGCAACCATCCCCTACGGCACCTCCTCTTCAGGTTGTTCCCTGGCAGGACGCTGCAGCAAATCATCGATGAAATTTGTGCGAGTGCATGGCGGCACACTTTTGCAAGGCGTGATGCTTTCATTCATCGACTGCGGCAAGCACCACATGAAGAGCGAGTACGTCTGGAGCTTCAACATATGCAGGCACTTGCGGAAGTTTGGAATATGTTCAGACGGCTAGTGGGAGACCGCGCCCCAGACCGACCTCGACCACCGCCTCCGCGGAAACCAGCACCTGAGGATGATCAGGACGTGGACCGAGCAGTCTTTCTTCAGCAGCGTATCGGATGGCTGGCAGCAGATGGGCAGTCTAAGGTCGGATCTAGAACCGACGCCCCATCGTGTCCCCCTGTCTGAGGCTGAGGAGGCTGCTGATGAGGCCACTCGTATGCTCGGGGAGACGCCCTCCGCCACTCCTGTGCGCCTGCGCGAGCCATGGAAGGCAGCGGCGGCGAGCAGTTCGGCGACCGCGACGTCAGCGACTTCGGCGGCGAGCTCGCGACCGCGGCGCAGGATGGTTGGCAAGACTACGACGAGAGTTTCCCCTGCCAGGCGAGGGGGTAGGCCTGAGGAGGTGATCGCTAACGAGACGGCCCGTTCCCCTGCCAGGCGAGGGGGTGGGCCTGAGGACGCGGTGGAGATCTACACGGTGGATTCCCCTGCGAGGCGAGGGGGTAGGCCTCACGACAACGAGCTGGACGGCGAGGTCACCGCCCCTGCCAGGCGAGGGGGTAGGCCTGTGAAGCACGAGTGCATGGTGGAGGCTCCTGAAGGGCCCAGAGGGCATGAAACGCAGCGAGTGGTATCCTCGGGGGGCCTCACCAGTGCAGACGATCAAAGGGCAGTTTGCCCGAATTCCCCTGCTGGGCGAGGGGTTAGGCCCATGGCGACCAGCCTCAACGACGCCGAGGAGGACCCCTTCCTCTACATCGGCGGCGGCACGCTGGTCTGAACCTTTCAGAGGTGCAGCTGGACTCGAGAACTCGATGGGGCTGCTGCGCGGCGCGATCGCGGACCTGCTGGTCTACGCGGTCGTTTTCGAGCCGACGAGCGTCGTCGGCTACCACGTATCCCTCCTCCTCTGAGAGGGAACGCCGCTGCCTTCGTTGGCGGCGGCGACGGAGCGCGGCCGCGGCGCCACCGCGGCGGCGTTCGGCTCCTGGAGCAGACCCGCGCCTCCGCGGCCTCTCATCATCATCATCATCATCATCATCATCATCATCATCATCATCACCATCATCATCATCATCATCACCACCGTCATCATCATCTTCTCCTCTATATTCTGCTTTCCTATATCCTCCTGCTCTCCCTTTTCCTCCTGCTCTTACTCCTGCTTATCCTATATCCTGTCTTTCCTCTCCCGCCCCCCTGCGGCCAGGAGGGCTACCGTTTTCCCCAGGGAGAGCGCGGCGCTGCTACAGGACTCTGCCTTGTACAAGGCCGCGCAGGGGGGGAAGGTCTTGGTGGGCAGGGAACGGAACGGACCTTCTCTCTTCCGTGTTCCCCCCCATTTCCTCCCTCCTTTCGGCGGCGAGCGAGGGGGGGGGGAAGTGAGACGAAAAAGGCCTCATCAGAAGGCGGCGGGACTTTTCAGAACCCCCCGCGCCTTCTGAGAAGTTCTCTGCGTCGTCCGCGAAGGCTGGGAAAACCTTTTCGGAAGGCCGGGTGGATTCCGAGCCCTCCGAGAAGGCCCGCCCCTCCTCACTCTGCCTCGGTCCCGCCGCCGATTCCTCCCCTCACTCGGCCTCTCCTCCGCGTTCTCTCTCTATCCCTTCCTTGCCCTTTCCTCTCTCCCCCCCGCCTTGGTTCCTCATCCGCCGCCCTGCTCCTCCTCTCTGCCTCGCCCCCTCCTCCCCGCGGCCCCCCCTCGGCCCTCCAAAGGAGGGACGGGGTTCGATGATTGATGATCGAGTTTTTTTTTATATGGACCAGGAATGGCAGCATGCTTTCGCTTCCTGGGGGGCCTCCGGTGCTTTCCAGGAGCGTGCGGGGGGCCTCCGAAGGACTCCAGAGGCGGGGGAAGCTGGGGCGAGGGAGGAGAGAGGGTGGAGGATGGTGATGGGGACGGGGGACGAGGGAGCGGGGGGGGAGGGAGGGAGGACGGACGAAGAGGAGGATTGAGGCGTCAGGGCTGGACCTAAACGCTGTTTTGCTGGATTTCGGCTGTGTTCTGCTTGTCGCTTTGGCAGGGAGGTGCAGGAACACATGTAGAGCAAAACGAAACACAAACGAACACAACATGAAAAACAACGTTTAGGTCCAGCCCTGGGAGGCGTGAGGGGGGAGAGGAGGGAGTGTGGAGGAGGGTGCGCGGAGGGAGCAGGGCAGTCTCTCAGCAGCCGTTGCGCTTCATCACTGCCATGCAGGGCTAGGAGGAGTGGCAGGCAGGGAGGGAGGAAGGGAATTGCGATGGAGAGCGATGGGTTTCTTGAGTTTCGATGGTTTTGCGATGGAGAGCGCGACGTTCCCACACCAACAATCAGTGGACGTCCTGGGGTCTCAGGGTTGGATTTCTTGTGGAAGGTTTCTTGTGGTCGGGCCCCTAATGTAGCGCGTCTGTACGCTTTTTCTCATGACGGGTCTCTTGCAGATTCTAGGGCCCGTGATCCAATGACACCACACGGCCGCATGATCACATTGACAGAGGAAGAGTTGCATTGAGTGCCGCGATGTTAAGGACCCAGGTGTGCAAGGAGGATGGGAAGAGTCACGACTATCAAGATGAGGAGGGAGAAGGAGAAGTGAGGAGGGGTAGCGGACTGAGTCATATCAGAAGGGTTGAAATATGTAACCGTGACCCCTACGGCGAGCCACCGCTTCCGCCTGCGGATTGGAATCTCCTTTTCGTTTAAATGAGTGCCCAGAGTATGGCCAAGTTTCTGGAACCCTTGACGCTTCGCGTACCCCCACCAGCCCATCCACCAGCGGACACTTGTCGAGTTGCCCTGTTCAGGGATGCGCTGCAGCATGCGGCCCTGGGGCGCGCGTTGGGCTCTCTTGGAGGCGCTGGGGGCCATATTGGCGCCATATTGGGGCTATCTTGGCGGCCTTCGGGCGCTCATTGGGTCGTCTCCGTCGTCGTCGTCCGTCGTCGTCCTCGTCGTCGTCGTCGTCGTCGTCGTCGTCGTCGTAGTCCTCGTTCTCGTCGTCGACCTCGTCGTCGTCGTCGTCGTCGTCCGTCGTCGTCCTCGTCGTCCTCGTAGTCCTCGTCGTCGTCGTCGTCCTCGTCATCGCCGTCCTCGTCCTCGTTCTCGCCGTCGTCGTCGTCGTCATCGTTGTCGTTGTCGTCGTTGTCGTCGTTGTCGTCGTCCTCGTCGTCTCCGTCGTTCTCGTCGTCCGTCGTCGTCGTCGTCGTCGCCGTCGTCGTCGTTCCGTCGTCCTCGTCGTCCTCGTCGTCCTGATAGTCGTCGTCGTCGCCGCAGTCGTCGTCGTCGTCGTCGTCCTCGTCGTCGTCGTCGTCGTTGTCGTCCGTCGTCGTCCTCGTCGTCGTCATCATCGTCGTCGTCCTCGTCGTCTCCGTCGTCGTCGTCGTCCGTCATCGTCGTCATCGTCGTCGTCCTCGTCGTCTCCGTCGTCCTCGTCGCCCTCGTCCTCTCCGTCGTCGTCGCCGTCGTCGTCGCCGTCCTCGCCGTCCTCGTCGGCGTGTTCGTCGTTGTGATTGTCGTCGTCGTCGTCGGCGTCTGCGTCGTCGTCGTCGTCCGTCGTCGTCGTCGTCGTCGTCGTCGTCGTCGTTCTCATCCTCGTTGTCGTCCATTGTCGTCCTCGTCTTCCTCGTCCTCCTCGACGTCGCCGTCGTCTTTCTCGCCGTCGTCGTCGTCGTCGTTCTCGTCGTCGTCGTCGTCGTCATCGTTGTACTCGACGTCGTCGTCGTCCTCGCCGTCCTCGTCGTCCTCGTCGTCATCGTCGTCTCCGTCGTCGTCGTCGTCCTCGTCCCTGTATTCGTCGTCGTCGTCGTTCTCGTCGTCGTTGTCGTCGTCGTTTCCTCGTCGTTTCGTCGCCGTCGTCGTCGTCTTCCTCGTCGTCGTCGTCGTCCTCGTCCTCGTCGTCGTTTCGTCGCCGTCATCGTCGTCCGTCGTCGTCCTCGTTGTCCTCGTCCTCGTCGTCGTCGTCGTCGTCGTCGCCGCCGTCGTCGTTGCCTCGCCCTGGATATCGTTTCCCCCCCGCGGCAGGCGCCGAGGAGAGCCCCGCCTTCCTGGCGGGCGCCGCCGCGCCGAGCCGCCAGGCCTCCGTCGACGAGCCGCCGCGGCCCAGCGCCCCAGGCGTCGCGGCCTCCGCGGCGCCGCCGGGCGGCCTCGGCGCGCCCGACGGCGCCCTGCCAGGCGCGCCCAGCGGCGGCGGCGCTTCGCCCGACGTCGGCGCCGGCGCCTTCGGCGGCGGCGGCGCTGTCGGGGCGGCGGCGTGCCCAGCGTGTGCTCACGCGTGAGGAGGAGCGAGGAGGAGGAGGAGGAGGAGGAGGAGGAGGAGGAGGAGGAGGAGGAGGAGGAGGAGGAGGAGGAGCGAGGAGGAGCGAGGAGGAGCGAGGAGGAGCGAGCAGGAGCGAGGAGGAGGAGGAGGAGTGGGAGAAGGCGGAGGAGTTGGGCGCGAATATCGTGGCTCACTACAAACGGGGTCAGTCAGAGTGTCAGATCTTGCAGGATCCAGCAGGGCCAGCAGTGCACTGACCCGGATTTGGGTGCAGGATTCTGCAGAATCCTGCAGGGTCTTGCAGGATCCTGCAAGGCCTGACAGACCCGGGGTTTGGATTGACCGGGGTCAGTGGATCCCCGAGAAATGCACGCCAGTCGTTGAAAGTATTCTTGGATTCCCAGATCCCAATCTACTTCAAGCGCCTTCCTACTTCAAGAATCGACACGCTTTTGCTGCGTTTTGTGATTCCCTGGGTGTGCCTGGACCCAATCAACTTAATCCGCTTTTCTACTTCATGTGTGTTGCCTACATCTTCTGATTTCACCACGTCGAGGGATTCTTGCACATTGCTTTTCCAGCGAGCCCGACCGCCCTCCAGGGGCCCGGGCGCGGGCGACCCCCGCACCGCCAGAAGCTACAAAAAGGGGCTTCGTTCCTTCGTTCCTGCTTCCGACCGACGTGTAATGGGGGGCCGACGAAAGCAGGGGCAGCGAGGGCTGCAGAAAAGGAGCCCTGAAAGGCCCTTCAAGGGGCGCCTTAGGGCTTCAGAAGAGGGGGGCTCCCAGAGCCCGAGAAGGGCCCCTCTCTTCCCCCCTCATTCCCCCCCCAATGAACTCGCGCCCTCATTTATTCCCCCACGAACTCGCGCCCAGCGGAGGAGGACAGCCGGGAGGTCCTGGCGGTGCGGTCTCTATCCTCGCACCGGTGCAGTCTTCTGCTTCTGGCGTCGGGCCCTGTGGGGCCATGTCCCTGATGGATCTGGCGCGGCAGCTGCCGCAGAAAGAGGGGGGTTGTAGGGCTCGTGTCGTGATTTGTTGTGGCTTGGCATGTTTTTTTCAACTCGAAAAACATAATCGCCAGAAACGTAAACTTTTGGCGCTCCGCGCTCTGCGCGGACTTCTTGGCTCCGCGCGGGGCCCCCCTGGGCGGCGCCTCCGGCGGGGCGTGGCGGCGTCCACAGCGCGACGGGGCGTGGCGGGGGAGGGGCCAGCCGGCGAGGTCTTTGGCAAAGACCGCTGCAGGGCGGGCGGCCCCTGGAGGACCTACGGGCCCAGGGCGCCAGGTGGCCGGCTGTGTCAGGCGCGGTGGAGGCGCGGTGGGGGGGGGCCGGCGGAGTTTTTGCAGGGTGGGCGGCCCCTATAAGAACCCAGGCCTGGGACGACAGGAGGCCGGCGGTGTCAGGCGCCGTGGCCGGCGAAGTTTATGCAGGGCGGGTGGCCCTTTGAGAACCTAGAGGCCCAGGGCGCCAGGCTCGGAAGCCGGGCGGGGGCTGCTAATTCCGTGGCTGCTAAAATCGACTTCCGGGGAGTTGTCTTCGTCCTTCTGGGGGCAAGCCCGGTGACGGTTTCGCGTGCCGCGCCTCACTCCGGGAAGTTGTTTTTTTCTTCGGGAGGGCCGTTTTAGCAGCCACGGTTTTAGCAGCCCTCGCCCAGCTTCCGACAGGAGGCTGGCGGTGTTGGCCCCTAAGAACCTAGGCCCAGGAGGCCAGGAGGCCGGCGGTGTCAGGCGCGGTGGGGGCGCGGTGGGAGAGGTGCCGGTGAGGTTTATGCAGGGTGGGTGACCCCTAAGAACCCAGGCCGAGGACGCCAGGAAGCTGGCGGTGTCAGGCGCGGCGGAGGCGCGCAGGGGAAGGTGCCGACGATGTCTCTGCAGGGCGGGCAGCCCTCAAGAGCCCAGGGCCAGGGCGCCAGGAGGCTGGCGGCGTCAGGCGCGGTGGGGGCGCGGGGGGGTGGAGAAGCTGGCGAGGTGGGCCCCCGCGGGGGGCCTCCGACGCAGCTCTGGGCCGACAGGGCAAGGAGCCGAGATCCCTGGGGTCCCGCAGGCTAAGAGGGTTCACGTCCTAGGGGAGGTTAGGAGGAGGAGAAAGTCTTCACAGACACAAGGAACCGTCGACTTCCAGGAAACTAGGGGGAAACATATGGGAGGTGGGGGGGGGAAGACGAAGACCCAGAAGAATATTAGAAAATCTGGGGGATCCTGGAATTTGTGTGTATTTATTTGTGTGTCACTGGGTCCCTTTAGTTACGTCGGATCCAGGATCGGGATACAGCGGTCCTGCGCGTTCCGGAGCATTCGGGGATGCTCCAGGGAGGCCGTGCCGCCCGATGCGCCCTTAAGAGCCGAGATGCCCGGTTGATTCCGATTCGATCTCCATTACACCAGAGAGAAACCCCAGTCCAATCTGTGGATGGTTTGATCGATAAGGAGATCGACCGTGAACCCGGGAACCCGGAACCCACCGAAATCGGACCGGAGCCAATGATCAGCAGCCGGGCTTCGGGCGAAAAAAGGAAAAATATGTATAGCAAATTGAAAACAAGCCAACAGATGCTCACTTCTTCGTCCCTCGACCAATTTTTGATATGATTTTTGAATGTCCCACCCGTAGAGGGACACGCCCGACTCAAAACTGACCGCTCAGACAAGGACACGGAGGGAGCGTTCCGGAAGCTTCCATCGCCGTTCCAAAAGTGACGAACGACCAACACACACCCATACCCATAGGGAGGTCGTTGGGAGGAGGACTGGCTATGGTCAGGAGGGAAAAAAAAGCACACAGACGCAATGAATCGTCGATTCCCCAGAACATATAGGAAAATATGGGAAGTGTGTGGGGGAAGACAGAAACCCAGAACATGTGGAAAATATAGGGAATCCTTTTATTTGTGTATTTATCTGTGTGTCCCAGGGCCCCTTCATATGGGTATGGGTGCGGCATGTCGGACCCTGGGGAACGCTCCCGTTCGAGCGGGGACCCCCATCCGACAACACGCACCCATAGCCCTCTCCGATCCCCTATGGGTATGGGTGTGTGTTGTTGGTTCGTCAAAAAGGGCGGGAGCGGGTGACTTATGTACGTACGCGGCCGTAGCCCCAGCCCCAGGCCGCGCTATTGGCAACGTTGGTCAACGGCGACGTTAACGACCTACCAAACCACCCCAACCCAACCCGAAGAACCGAAGTTTACCCGAAGTTCGGGTTGGGGGGGGTGAGGGTCCCGCATGTGCTTTTTCAGAGTTCACCGATTTGCCCTCCATTCCCACTAGGAATGGAGGGCAAATCGGTGGCTTCGGGTTGGGTTGGGGTGGTTTGGTGGGCGGTGAGTTTGGAATATGATGTTTGTGGTTCGCACAGAACCAGCTGCAGGACATCGCGAAACACTCTTTCCTGCATCAGGGAAGTGTAGGAAAACGCGAACCACCATGTCCTACGATTGGGAACCGGGAGCCCAGAACCAGGAACTTGGGAACCTGGAGCCGGGAACCCGGAAACCCAGCGGGCCACCAGCATCGGTGGGACGCTCTCGCAAAGTCTTTCAATGTCCGTTAGGACCCAATCAGTGCAAGCACTGATGGGCCTGTTTTCCATCACCACCGCCACCATACGTTGGAGGGGGAAGGAGGTGGAGGATGAGGAGGAAGAAGAAGGAGGAGGAGGAGGACTTCCTCCCCCTCAAACTTATGGTGGTGGTGGTGGTGGTGGATAACAAGCCCACCACGATCGGGGAATAGCCCGGTCTTGCCTTCCTTTTGGTCGTGGGGTCCAGGCGGCGACGCTGGCGGCGCCGTTGCGGCTGGAGGCGCCCAGGGCGTCGGCGTGGACCTCCTGGGGGTCGGCGACGGCGCCGCCGCGGCCGGGTCGCCCGGCCCTGCGCCTGGGAGTGGCGTGCCCGCGCAGATCGAGGCTGGCGGGAGCGCAAACCAAGACTGGTGGGATGAGCGTGGGGGGTTCTAAGTGGATAGGGGGGTTACACGTGGATGCTAGTAGGGGGCCACGTGCGAACCCTACCCCTGCCCCCCACGATTTCTTAGGAGGATCGATGAGGAGGAGGGGGGAAAGGGAGGATGATCGATGAGGAGGTTGGGGGAGGCGGAGGAGGATCGATGAGGAGGAGGGGGGAGGAGGAGGAGGATCGATGAGGAGGAGGGGGAAGGAGGAGGAGGAGGAGGAGGAGGAGGAGGAGGAGGAGGAGGAGGAGGAGGAGGAGGAGGGGGGAGGAGGAGGCCCTGCGCCTGGGAGTGGCGTGCCCGCGCAGATCGAGATTCTCGGAAGCGCAAACAAAGACTTTAAGTTGGGCGTGTCCCTCTACAGGGTGACGAGTGTTCTATTATTTTCGATCACTTGGGGAGTTTCTTTCGCCCCAAATCCCCCTGTAGGGGGACATGCCCGACCTGAGGCTACTTGGATGACCGTGGGGGTTTCTAAGTGGATAGGGGGGGTACAAGAGGATGCGAAGGTGGGTTATAACTGGCCCAACCTGGCTTATAATTGGGCTACAGCTGCCCCAAGTAGCTCAGTGGGGTTAACGATCCGAGCTAAGTGGGCTCCGCCCACTTAGCGGAGTTATCAACCCCCCCAAGCCCTCTTGTAAGCTGGGTTGGGCCAGATATAACCCACTTTAGCATCCACTTGCAACCCCCTTATCCACTTAGAACCCCCCACGGTCATTCCCGTAGGGCCCTCGGTGGGGGACGTTTCTGGCTTTCGAGGCACGAGGTTTCCGCATGTTTTCGTCGGTTCTCGTTGGCTTTCCAGCCTCGGGATGCCTTCGAGCGGCTGCGCCTCGCCAGAGGCGTTCTCCGGGTGCCCGGATCTTCCCGAGCGGCCGCCGGTGACCCGAGTTCTGGCCTGACAGCGGGACGACGAGGATCACGGGGGGGACAGTCAAGGCTCGAGGGTCTCAGAGGAGGGTGAGTGGAGACAACGGCATTTGGCCTCCGGTGGGGCCCTCGTCGCCACCGCTGGGCGGAGCTAGGAGAAGTGGTGCGTCTGGACCCCAGGAGGGGTGGACCGGCTTCGAGCTGCCGCTGTCTCGACTCGCCCTGCGCCGAGCTCCCGCGCGGCATCGACGCGCTCCGTCGCCAGGCGAGGCGGCTTCGGCTTCCTTGTCCCCCTCCTCCTCCTTCTCCTCCTCCTCCTCCTCCTCTTTGATCGGGGGTTGTCTTCCCCGATCGGTGCATCTGGCGCCCTCGCATAAGATCGACGGAGCCGTAACTTCTGTTCGAGTGTGCCCGAGAGGCTCGGTTGCAGTGGAAACCCATGCCAAGAAGCACCCGGCTGGCCTCCACCGTGCCCTGGGTCTCTTGGATCTCGATGGTCGTGCGATGGAGAGAGCGTGGCGTTTCCACACCACGGATCGACGGCCGTCCTGGGGTCTCGGGGTTGGGTTTCTTGTGCAAGGTTCCTTGTGCTCGAGCTCCCACAGTACACGCGAGAGGATCCCCTCGCCAGAGTGGCCTTTTGGGCGCGGCTCCCTTCGGGGCAGCGGGGCGTGCCGAGCCTCAGCGCGCCGGCCGCCGCGTGCAGCGCACCGCGTGCAGCGATCGGGGAGCCGCGCGCCATAGGCCGCCCTTGCCCATCGCTCGGCCACGAGCTGCCTGACGAGCAGGCCAGGCTGGGGCGAGGGTCGGCCGAGTGATGTGGGCGGAGAGGGTGGGGGGAGGAGGAGGAGGAGGAGGAGGAGGAGGAGGAGGAGGAGGAGGAGGAGGAGGAGGAGGAGGAGGACGAGGAGGAGGACGAGGAGGAGGAGGAGGAGGAGGAGGAGAGGGAGGGGAAGGGGGAGGCGGAGGAGGGGAGGAGGGGATGGGGGATGGGATGGTGATGGTGATGGTGGTGTGGGCGAACAGGGGGGGGGGGATGCGGGGCACATTTCGATTTCTCCAACCAGCCGCGAGGCCACCCGTGCCGACCTGAGCGCGTACCTGTGTGCCGACGGCGGCGGCGCCTCGCCCGCGCTGCGGGGGCGGCTCGACCGGGCGCGGCCGTGGGCCATCCGGAGGAGGGCCCGCCGAGGCGGCGGCGGGCCTCCCTGGCGTTTTGCCCCTTCGTCCTGAAAGAGGGGAGGAGGGGGAGGAGGGGGAGGGGGAGGAGGCGGGGGAGGGGGAGAAGGAGGAGGAGGAGGGGGAGGAGGGGGAGGAGGAGGGAGGAGGAGGAGGAGTTGGAGGAGGAGGAGGAGGAGGAGGAGGAGGAGGGCGAAGGGGAGGAGGGGATGAGGGGGAGGAGGAGGAGGAGGAGGAGGAGGAGGAGGGAGGAGGAGGAGGAGGAGGAGGAGGAGGAGGAAGGAGTGGTTGTTTGCTGGGCCTCCCAGGAGGCTTCCCGTCGCCGAGGGCCAGGGTCCGCCCCCCTTGGGAGGGGCCCTGGGCACAGGTCTGGGGAGCGGACGGGGGCCAGGCGTGGGAGCCGCCGTCGTCTCCACTGCAGGGGCAACGACAGGGGGGGCTGGGCATGCAGGGTCCGTCTCGGATTCAGTCGGGCGTGTCCCCCTACAGGGAGATTTTCGACGAAACATAACAAAATATCGAAAACATATTCGAACATTGTCAAACAAATACGCAAACAATAGTTCCCAGAGTTTCTTTTAATACTATTTGTGAGCATTCCCCCTGTAGAGGGACAGGCCCGACTTAACGCTTGGATGAGGAGCACTTTCTCTTCAACAGGGACTCGGTCTTTCCTTTGGTTTGCATGCGTTCCGCTACCTTGTCGGCGGCGACCCCCCCTTGGTGTTCCTTCGGACTTCGTACCGTAGACTTACTCGGAAGACATGGGGCTTCGTTCCGTGTTTATCGTTCCTCAGGTCAGGCCGAATACTGCAGAAGAAGAAGAAGAAAAGGCCATATAAACATAAACTTTTGGCGCTCCGCGCAGTTTTCTCCGATCCGCACTGGGCCCCCCCCAGCGGCGCCTCCGGAGCCGCCCCTGGCGCGCTCCGCGCGTCAGGGAGGGGGATCCGGCGCGGATCCAGGAAATCCGCGCCGAGCGCCAAAAGTTTCTGTTCATGTGTTTTTGTTCCTTCTTCTAGGGATCGGCAAGGGGGAGGATGCATCGACCCCCAATCGCCCACTGATCGCGGATGGGGGCCCGATAGTCCCAACCTGCACAGGAAGGCGCGCATTCATTATCGGGGGTTAAGACCGGTCTATCAGCGACGTACCGCCGACTTCAGGTCGCGGATTTCGCTCGGAAAACAATTGGATGGGCCCAGATTGGCCTTGAGAGTCTCGTTCCGGACTTCGAAGCGAATTCTCAGTTGTTTTTTGTTGGCCGAGAACGAAAACTACAGAACAGCATCCACGTGAAATGCCTTTCGTTTGTCACTCGCCTCTTCGGGGTGCTGCATGGACAGACGTCCACGCAAAAGTCAGTCGCCAGCACGTCTGCAAGGTCGGTGCATTCCCCCCCCGGTCGTGGCCCCTCGCCGCGTGGCCCTCCTCCGGGCCGTGGCGCTCGTGGAGAGGCACGTGGAGGGGCTGCTCGGCCACGAGCTGCCTGACGAGCAGGCCGGGCCGGGGCGAGGGTCGGCCCAGTGGCGTGGGCGGAGAGGGTTTTGGCATCGCTCGGACGTGTGATTTTTTTCTCGGCGAGAACCATCGAGGACCATCCTGGACCATCGAGTTCGAAAAAAAGCACGCACGAAACCGAAACATGCACGGGAAATGGACGTCCGAGCGACGGCAAGCGGGTGGGGGTCGGGGGCGGCAAAGCGGGAGGTGATGACTAGGGGGGGGGGATATCGTGGCGTGGGCCATGACTTTTCCCCAGATCTCCTGGCGTCTCTTCTTTCATTACGTCCCCCGCCCCCCCCCCTGGGCCACTGGGCCGGCCGCGCACATGCCGGCGGCCATGATTTGCGCCCCCCCCCTCCTTGGACGCCCCCCTCTTGGCCGCCCCCGAGGGGGGGGTGATGATGATCAGAGCAAGCAAAGGTACCCAAACCGCGACCTCTCTCTCTCTCTCTCTCTCTCTCTCTCTTTTGGCCCCCTTTCTGGGCCGCCTGGGAGGCCCTCGTCGCCACCGCTGGATTCGCCGCGACAGCTTTGCCAGAGCGCACCCCAGGAGAGGGCCGTGGAGCAGCGGTGTTGGTACCTTGGGGATTCCCCGAGTAACGGTGAGTGTGATGCTGGTGATGGATTGCAAAAAAAACCCTTTACACGAAGGATTGGAAACAACCCTTTTCACGAGGGGTTTGTTTGCAACCCTTCGTTCAAGTGATATTTTTTTTTGCAATCCTTTTTGCAATCCTTCGTGGTTGTGGTTCTGTTTATGATGTTGGTGCCTCTGCTGATGCTGCTGCTGATGATGACGGTGACGATGATGGTGAAGCTGCTGCTGCTGCTGCTGGTGATGCTGCTGGTGATGATGTGAGGCCCTGGGGGTCTTGGACAGAGGCGAAGGATGCGGAGGACCACAGGAAACCCAGGACGTGGCAGCGATGTTGCAGTACGCCCTCCCCTCCCACACCCCCTCCTCAGGAGTCCCCACAGCTGGTCTTCTCCACTGCGGGGCGCACCCACCATGAATTACGAGCCCCCAGTGAGCCTGCCTACCACGCGTCCGTCTGACCGACGCAAGACATCGGGGTCGT